GGCAGGTGAAGTCTGCTCGACACACAGACCAATACAGGGCTTTATTTGGAAGTAGCCTTGTTAGATCAGCAGCACTGTAGGCGGAGGTTAAGCCAGATTTCTGTCTGTGGATACTCTGAGTTTCCTCTTACGAGAAGAGCTTGGATATTGGCATAATCTCCAAAGTCAGTTCCAGCTTTAAGTATCTAACTTTCAGGCAAAGGCTAAACACTTCATCCTTTGAGAAGTATTGCTCTATTATGTTTTAGAAGAATTGGAAAGATAGTATTAAGTTTCCATAAGACTTAGAGCCTCCACGAAATCTATTTAATTAAATCTAGTAAAATGTACCATGCTGGTTTTAAGTACACTTCTAGAAGGAAAGGAGAAGGCAGGGGCAAGAAGTCAGTTTTCTGTGCAATAAAGATTCATGAGATTTTTCAAGCACGAGGTGATCATTTGTCAAAAGCCCAAAGACCCAGTTTGGACCATGAGATATATTTACAGTGGCTCATAATGTCAGGCAAAATATTATGTAATATGACAAAAGCTTTCTTATAATTTGTGAGTTTGTTGACAAAAGAGTCTTATTAGGAAAATGAAAATAAGTTGGACAGTTAAAGTACTCAAAACTAAGACTAAAATGTAATGTCCAGACTTCCTGGTACATCAAACATGTACTTCAAGTGGAAGTTAGTTTTAGTTTAGTTTTTTCTTAAGCTGTTTTTAGGAATCTAAAAGGGCCTCTCACTATAATTCCCAGCTTTTAACTTTTAGCCCCGCCTGACTTTGAAGGGCGGCCTAGACCCAACCTGCACTAGGAGGAGATTCGGCTACCTGCTCCAGCTGACCACTCAGGACTACCCAGATCCTGCTATCTGCCACCTGCTGCTGCTGTCTGGACACTCAGGGCTGTCCAGATTCTGCTATCTGCTACAGCTGCCTGGACAGTGTTCTGCTCTTGGGGACTTGACCCTTTTCTGGGTCTTCCGGCTTGGCCCTGCCTGAGCCTGACCTGGATCCCCGGTCTAGCGTAACACCCAGAATCCACACATGGTGTATGCTTGAGCTCCCACGTGGAACCTGTAATCTAACACTTATCCCTTCTCACCCCAGGAGCAGGACCCGGGACTGCAGAGCGTGTATGGCTGTGGCTGCAAAGCAGAGTCTGATTCCACCGGGGAGAAGGGCCGAGGCTTGCGGTCATAACTGCGGTGCTGCGGCTCTGTGAACCCCTCTCTCGCTTGGATGCTTCCAGAAAAACACTTACCTCTGTCACTCTGTTAGCTTTTACTATTTATCCATGAAATACACGGAGGGGCTACTGTGTGGGAGACAAAGTCAAAGGCAGAACCTCCGCCTTCTAGCACTGCAGCACCAAATGGCCCTGGACGCGGCCCTGGACGCAGCCCTGGACGCAGCCCCAGACACGATGTCCCTGTAACCTGGGCCGCCAAACTCTCTTTCCTTCATTCCCTGCAGAAATCTAAAAGAGCACTTCAAAACGTTTTGAAATGGAAAATGGACTAGGACATTTTGATACGTGTTTTCTAAAACTTAATTATTATATACCATCAAATATGTTATTGCTGGGGGTCAGAAGGTGATACCCTCAGATATGCTGTTTTGGACTTTAGACTCAACCCCCAGGAGCTGGAGTATGCTTTCTTTAAAATTGTCCACCTGAAGACAAGCTCTGCTAAAGAGTATCCAACTGCTTTCATATCTTCTCACTGGAATGTCACTAACCAAGGAAGCTTCAGAGACTGAAAAGAAAACACCACGCCTAGAGCTCAGAGCAGTGGTGTCACACCAATGGTACACGTGCTGCAGCGGGCTGTTTATATCACTGAATGCTCTGAAAGGTTTGCCGTTACTGGGCCAGAGCAACTTTGTCCCATGGCACTGTCTTCTTCAGACTCACTTATTTCCTCTACAAAATCACTTACTACCCCTGTGAAATTGCCTACACCCTCCATTTCCTTCACCCTAGAAGGAGGATATTTAAGCTTCGACTGTCTGGTCCTTCTTCGAGTTTCATATTCTGTTGACTCCGGCGCACACATAGGTATTCATCAATATGTTTGCTTTTGCTTATGCTAATGTGTTTCCTCCAGTTCACTTCAGTAGACCTAAATATTGAACCTGCGGAGGGAGCATCTAAGCTTCCTTGACATTATGCTAATAAACAAAGATCTGAAAATAGTTCATTTTCAAATATAAGATAAAGTTATGTCCCAAAGTACGAACCATGAAGTCATCACCATAGAATGTTAAATGTGTACATAAACATGAACTTATCGTGTAAAGAGTTTAAATATTTCATGATTCCTCCCACCTGGAGGCATGGCAAAGGCCAACTGTGCTACAAGCTGCAGTCCAGAGTCACTGGTTAAGGACAGCCAGGTGTGACACACTGTGTAAGAGCAGCACTTGGCCCCAAGTCTGTACTTGTGCCACCTGTGACCTTGCACTGGCCCGGGCTGTCTTCAACTCTTTGCACCTCCATAATCCAGCCAGGCTGGAAAGACTCCCCCACCATGGCCAAGGATCCAGGAGAGGCTGGAGGCTGGTGGGCTGGACGCACAGGTGTGAGCTCTGTGCCAGCAGTTTATTGTACTGGCTGGGAAAAGAGGGGCTTACTAAGACTGCCGACCATAGAATGCACTTTTCCATTTCTCCATTTCAGCTTGTTTCCTAGATCTGCCTGAGAATCCCAGTTGGCCTTCCTGGGGCTTAGACTGTCTTCATCATTTAAATAAGCCCCAGGTTCCTGTCATTCAAATGAGACGAGGCCACTGCTGTCACCCTAAGGCAAGAGAACAGAAAGTGTGGGAGCCCTCTCTATGCCCCCTGCTTCTCCAGTTCCGTCCCCTGCAGCTGCAGATGGCACTGCAAGCCCGGATCCTTCCACACACCCTCCTCTTCTCTTCACTCCTGCTCATCACAGGTACCCAGATATCTCACTACCGGGCCTCACGGGAGACTCGCATTCCAGGCTTGCGGAGAAACTGGCTTTAACTTGGAGACGAGCAACCGAAGCACAGACATCATAACTGGCCGACTGGTTCAGTGGAAACCAAATCTCAGGCGTTTGAAGTCTGAGTTATAATGTAGCCCAAGTGCCATCCAAGCTCCTTTTCATTTTCCAGGTCTGTTGCTAGGAGCCTTTCAATGCAGTTTTTGAGGGAAGAATTATGACTCAATCAGGTTGTACCTATTGGGTACCCAATAAATGTTTGCAAAATGAGCCCGGAAATGGCATTTTAAGGAAAAGATTGCAGAAGAAGCCAGCTAATGTGTGGGGTAAGGATTTTACTGTGGTAGTTTTTGAAATCACTTTATTATTTGGTTAAAACAACTTCAGTTAAAATACATCGGTAACAAACTATTAATTTTATTTGTTTGTTTTCCAGCACCAGGAATCAAACTCACGACCTTGCGCTTGCCAGGCAGGCGCTGTGCCGCTGAGCTAAATCCTCAGCCTTAAACTCTTGATTTTAGAAGGAGAAGGCTGTTCGTATTTTGGGCTTCACTACTAAGCACTGCTGTGTGTCCAGCATCCTGCTTGACTAAACCCACGTCCTCCCAGGAAGCACTGGGAACATTGTGACCCTAAAATGGACTTGCTCTAAGCAACGGGCAGATCATTGTCTCCTCTCTATTAATATTAGAAAGCTATTCCTGCAACTTTAGTATTTTTGAGTGGGTTGAACCAGCTTTTCTTAAGGGAGTTATTCTACCACTGGTAATTTTTAGGCGGGAATGCAGGTACATTCAATCTCTCCAGTTTTACTTTACAGAATATGATTTAATTCAAAAAAGTGATTGTTGGGCATGTGCTATTGACCGAGGCCTTCCTAGCATCAGCAGGCTACCACAGGACAGGGTCCACGTACTACTAAGCCTCAGTACCCACCCCTTAAAGAAAAGGTATCTATGGCAAGAGGAAAGGAGATGAAAGTAAGCAACTAGCCAGTTAAATGTCGTTTAGGAAGGAAAGGAAGGAAGAGTAAGCTTTTCATGGGTTCACAGGTGGGGTGGCCCAGAGTCAAAGTCCTTCCTGTCCAAGGGCAGAGGTCCTGGCCTGGCCACCAGAGACCGGTGGGACCGAAGCTCATCTGCCGACGGGACTCAGGCCTGTCATCCATAACAGCAGGGAAGTGAGAGCCTCTTCCTACATCTAATCCCAGAACACAGGAGCCTAAGATATCTATGTGTCTGAGTCATGGCAGGGCTGTTTTATGTTTGTTCTCATTCAGAATTCCCGGTCTGCTCCAAATCTTTTCTCTTTTTTTTTTTTAAACCCCAATTTAGTTTCTTCCTTTGAATTCCTCAGTGTGTCAGACAAGAAGGTGATCAACTCCTTAGAGTTGGACAATTATTTTTCTCCCAATACTGTTCATGAACATACTGTGAACAAAGAAAGTTAATTCTCTTTAAATTGGCTTTTGGTATAGTATAGAACTCCAGTCAGTGCTTCCGATATCTTTATACATGAGCCCACGTTCTTAATGTCATTGAAATCCTAGAGTCAATAAGTTTTCCCAGGTGATAAAACAGTGGTATCAGCTTCGCTCTGCTCTTGTTTTAAAACATGAACTTCACTTAATATATTTGGGCACAGTCAGAGTGTCTAAGTTAATACTCCCTGTGCATAGGAGATTTTTTATTTTGAAATAAGATTGAGAAAGTTCTGAAGTATTCTGTAGGCGTTATTGGAATTGTTCTGTAAATGTGTAAAAGCCTCAGGACTTTATCTTTCAATTATATATGATATGCAACACTTGTTTCCAACACCTGCAGAGAAATTCCCGGACGCGGAAAGAAATAGCGCTTTCATCTTATTAAATTAGTGTGGTTTCAATTTCACATTATCTTCAGTAGCTTGGCTCATAGTATTACAAGTTTATTGCTTCTCCTTGTCTATACTAAAAGTCGAAACCTAAAGTCATTTTCTGCTTTATTGACTTGCAGAGAAAAAAACTGAAATTATCCTGATCATTAGAGAGAGTACTTACAATTTTTTTGCCTTCTATTAACACTTCAGAAAAATTGGTCTCGACATCCCGCAGTATCACAGATCCGTTCCGTTCTCTGTAGATGAATTCTTTATCTACAAGAGAGAGAGAAAAGACAGGCACCATCAAGGAACTCAGCTTGGCTTTTTGATGGACACTTGTGTAGGGTGTATTGAAGCGTTCTGAAAAAAAGGTCCGCGGCTTTTTACCCAAGAGTCCTTTAGAGATGGAGAATCCATCTCCGCATCCTGCGGTCTCATGAGCTGCTTCTGTGTGGTCCTCACCGACGATCCACACCTGACAGAAGGCACAGCCTGGACACGCACAAACCTTTAGATGTTGTGGGAATTTCTTGGGTGAGACACAGCGGGTAGGCACTCAGAGCAGGTGAGGAAATGAGCTGCTAGAAGGTGCAAGGTGGTTGGCAGGGAAGAGACCGTGTCCTGCATCTGACACATAGGGATGGGGCCATGCAGCAGCCTAGCAGGAGGCAACCCCCAAATCCGCAGTACCAGCTCCGGTCTTGTCCACGTGGATTTCTGACCACTCTCGGAGGACGCAGTAATAGTCCATCCATCGTGCTTTAGTGACCCTGGTCTCTTGTATATTAGCAACTGAAGTTTCAACTATCCCCTTAGAAAATGAATAAATCACATACTCAATTGTATGCAAATGAAAGGCTACACTTTCCGGAAGCAGGGTTGTTGGGAAGGCAGGCCTGACACAGGCACAAAAAAAGCACATCTTCCCAAGGAAAGGTGGTGACAGTTGGGTGGCAAAGCTGTTTCACACTAAATAGGTGGTAACTGAAAGGCACGGTGCAGACTGGATTCACCCAAAGTAAAGTTATTATCGTTCAAGTATGCCTGGTTTATGGGGAAAAAGTTTATTCATAGAGGAAGATTTTAATCACTTGCGCAGTTCTAGGCTAATCCATTTGGTGCATTAATGTCGATTATGCACAAAAGTTTAGTGCTAAGGTTAGTGAGAGACGTTCAGAGGAAGGGGGTGCCATTTACTTTCTCGGTGACACTTGCATATACCAATCAAGTAGGTCATGCTCTCTTTTCCTTCCTTTGTGCAAACAGCCAAGGTGTTTAACCATTTTGGTGAAGGGAGCTTTATGCTCCAAATTTTAAAGTTTCTCTTTGGGAAAGCACTTGAAAGTTGACTTATAAGTTCCAGTGGAAAGTTACAGAAAAAGGCTGTGATTTAATTCAATTACTGCTTCATCTCCATTTGCTTACCAGCTTTCACACTGAGCAAAGTTTGAAAAACCAAATCCTTGTAAGTGGATGAAGATTTACTACTGTCAATTCTCCTAAGAAGTCCTAGGCTTTGCTTTTGCCCACCCCTCATGGTATGAATCACCCTAGAAAAAAAGTCTTTTTAAAAACAGTTTTATAATATTTGATGCACATATAATATGTTTCTGTTACAAAGTGAAACCAATGATGCAATGTCAGCACTAGAGCACAAGGTTTCTGCTGTGTCTTTTCATTTTTCTCTTCCATCCTGTGGGCTCCCCTTCCTGAATTTTGAGCCCTAACTTTTATTACATACCCTTAACTAATGTGTTATTTACTTTCATTTGTAGTGTGCGTGTCTGTGTGTGTGTGTGTGTGTGTGTGTGTATGTGGTGCTGGGGATGGAACCCAGGGCCTCATGCATCCAAGACAATTGCTCTATGACTGAGCTACTCCTCAGCCCTAGTTTTGTTTAGATTGGAGCTTAATGACTAGTGACATTCAGTGACTCCTATGATATTTCCAAGATTAATCTCTACTGTGCTGAGCTCTCATTTTCTTGGGCATATAGTATTCCAGTGTGTGTGTCTGAATGCTTCTACTGTGAATGTTTTTTTCACATCTGTTAATCCAAATGTGTATGTCCTTTTCTCACAGAAGTATACAGGACTGGAGTGCTAGGTTGTGGGTTGTGTGAACACTTATGGTTATAGTGGCTTTACTGGCTTTAGCAGTGCACAAGATTTCTTGGAATTCACATCCTCTGCAAAAGCAGTTGTGTCAATTTTTTCAATTTATTCCAGTATAGTGGGAGAAAAACAGTATCCTTCCCATTCAAATTTATATCATCTATCATGAATGACTTTGAATCCTTTTTTCCTCCTGTAGTGCCATTTATTTGTTGAAACCAAGTCATTCATCTATAAATATTTTTCCCACACTCTAGATTCAGGTAGTCATTTCCTTGTGGTGTTATTTATTTATTTTAATCCTTGTTGGTACCTAATATGTGCCGTGCCTAGTGATGACATTTATTGACTTTCGATCTTATCTACTTATTTACCATTTTTATGTCTTATTTTGTGAAATTTCTCATTTTGTGAAATTCCTGGCTTATTTTTTTGCCTATTTCTTCTTTCTGTTAGACTGTTTTTAATCTTATTGAGGTTTAGGAACTTTTAAAAATTCTAAATGAAATTTTTACTAGCTTTATGTGTTGAAAGTGCCTTTTCTTAGTTGAAGTTTTCATTTGCTTTGTATAATGTTTTATGTAATCCAAATTCTTAAGTCTTATATTGTTAATGTTTGATGTGCCCCATTTGAGAAATTTCTTTGTCTCACAATATCACATAAATAGTCTCCTGCATTTTTTTCTGAAACATTTTTGGCTTTCCCTATCAAAACTGAGGCTTAGTTCACTGGAAAATGACTTATATCTATGGTATGAGGCAAAGATCTAGTTTCACCATTTACATATGCAAATTTATCCCAGGACAACTGGACAGTTCTTTACTTTGTCAGGGGTCAGCAGAGTGGCCAGGACATTTCAGCGTCTGCATTTGTAGGATCTTATGGGGCCTTTTCTTTGGGTTCTGATGCACGGGCTCCTCCTGTTCACAACCACACTGTGAAATTTCTATCCTTTTGTAATAGGTCTTGCTCCCTGGAAGACTGCTCTGTCTTGGGAAAGGCTTGTTGTTCTTTGGAATTTGCTGTCTTTTATATATGTTAGATGCCACCTAAACTAAAGAGAATTCTGGCAATTCGACTAAGAGTACATTAAATGAAAAGGTCAGTTTGGATGAAATTTTTGTGGAGTTGGTTTACCTTTTCACTTATTCAGGTAATAAATTTTTATGTTTTTGCATTGGAAAAACTACACAAACCATCAGCTGTCTAGGAATTAATGTAACAAACAGTGTGAATGACCTGTCTGTCCACAGCTGTACATCATCCGCCCCACCACAGTCCCAGGAAACAACCAGGGAAACACTACACCGTGGCCGGCCTAGTCTCCTGAAATAACTGCAGAGAAGGCAGGAGCTGTTTTACATTCATAGAAACTTAAGAGACGGGATCAGGTATAATAGCGACTTTTAATTGGCTGTAGAAGCTATAGTATTTTGAGAATGACTGAGAAAATGTGAATATGACCTAGCACTTCAGTATCTGAGAACCGAGTTTCTGGTATACATACTAATGTTCTTATAGATGCATGGGAGGACATACTTTAGAGATGTCCGCTTTAGTATTCAGAGGTGAAAGAAAATAATATAATTTATATTTAAATATGTTTAGTGAAAAAGTAATGGGGAAGCACAATGACAAAGGTTAGAAATCCACTGGTATTGGTAACGTGCACGGTATCGCCATACCGGTAAGGCAGGGCTCGTTGTACTGTCCTTTCTATTTTTCTGTAACCTTTTTTTATGAAAAAGTAAGGAAAACATAAAAGGAGCAAGAGCATGTGCCAGGGCAGGGTAGGCGGAAAAGCTCTGTGCATAGACGTGGTCTATGAGGGGTGACCGTGGAGATCCCAAGAGCTCTGCCCCAGCTGGGCAGAATGGGATCCCCACAAGGAGAGCTGGGGAGGGCTCTGGGTGAGGCAGACTCTGGGAAGACGGACGTAGGAAGGATGCGGTGGGACATGAAGTAGTGCACGAGCAGAGGCCCGGGTAACCAGCCCAGGGCTCAGTGAAACCTCAGCAGGAAGCAGGAAACCCGAAGGTAGGGGGACTGCGTCTGTGGAGATGGGATGCAGGGATCTCCAGGGCACGTGTGGTGGTTCACATGGCAAAATTTGTCAGAGGGAGGCAACGCCAGCTCAGGAGATGCAGTGGTCTTGGCCTGTCAAAGCAGCAAGCTTAGCCGGGTGTGATGATGCACGTCTGTCCTCCCAGCACTCTGGGAGGCTGAGGCAGGACGCACGCGTTTGAGTCCAACCTGGGCAACCTAGCAACTCAGGGAGAGCCTGTCTCAAGGTAAAAAATAAAAAAGGGCTGGGGATGTGGCTCAGCGTGAAGGCCCGGGATTCCATCCCCAGCACTCTTTAAAAGAAGAAAAAGCAGCAAGTTTTTCTAATTAGATTCCTCAGTGTCTGAGCACAGAATGAGTGGAGCAAGGCGGAGCAGCAAGCCACCGTGAGACCCAACCCACAGCCCTGGGCACGGAGGGGGGCTGGCGGGGCCACTTGAGACTCACGTAACTTGTGGACATCAGGTTATAGTGCTAAACACCAGCATCTACTGCTCCACTCCGGGTAGCTGTACGGCAGCGCCCTCAAACTCATCCTGGTTCCTGCTTGGAAGTTGCTTGGAAGTAACTACCTTTCTTTCTTTTTTTTTTTTTTTTTTTTTCTGGTTTTTCTCCGGTACCGGGAACCGAACTCACGACCTTGCGCTTGCCAGGCAGGCGCTTTTTGCCGCTGAGCTAAATCCCCAGCCCCAGTAACTACCTTTCACAGATGACATCAGTGGCTGTAAATTTCATCAGAAGATCTAAGATGCCTTAGTTGTTTGAGAAGAATGGGCTGCCAAAGAACTTTTTAAAAGGTTTAAGTTTCCATTCTTCTGGTGAGGGATGATTTTTCTGCATCCTGATCACGGTTAGACACAGCACAACAGGGCGCCCTGCAAAGCAGTTCCCTCTAACACTGGGAATCAGATCCCCACACGTACGGGGTGGACGAAGAGAGATATACCTGAAACTAGAATTTCACGAGTGCTTTTGTGAATTCTCTTTCATCTGAACCTACCATGAAAGAAAAGGAGAGGAGAACACGCTTTCAGATGTTTAGATGAGCAAAGAAGTAAAGATCAGCAAAGAATAAATGTTCTCAAACACTTAGC